ATGTATCCAAATTCGGCAAACAAACCCCACCGTTCATCTTCTCGAACAACTCCAAGCCTCTCTCGATCTCACCGGCGTTACAAAAGTATCGAATGACGATGTTGTAAGTCTGCACATTCGGTCCACAACCATCATCCCTCATCCTATCCATGAATTCCATACTCCTCTTCATCTGTACTCTATGACACAAACCCCTAAAACCACATTGTAAGTAGTCGAATTCGGAGCATAACCCTTCTTCAACATCGACTCGAAAACCGAAACCACATTCTCTACACTGTCTTTCATACACAGAACTTGAATCAAAGCATTGTATGTTGCAACAGAGGGCAACACGCCATCATCAACCATCTGATTGAAAACATTCTGAGCTCTCTTAATCTCACCAGCAACACCAAGACCATGAACCACAGTGGTGTAAGTAACGACATCGAATTCGATCTTTCGCCTTTTCATTTCCAGGAAGAACTTCCAGCCCACATCGATTTGACCAGCTCGAAAGTACCTTTTGAGGATTATGTTGTAAGTAGTCAAATTCGGACTCAAACCTCTCTCCACCGTCTCTTTTAAAGTCTCGAGAGCCTTGTTTGTTCTCTTGATTGAACACCAACCATTTGCAATTATGTTATAAGTTATAACTGATAACATCAGCTTGAAACCTTCCTCTGAGCACTTTGAAAAAGTTCCATGCTTTCTCAACACGTCTAGCTTTACATAGGACATCGAGGATAGTGTTAAAAGAATGTAAATCCTGGAAACAACCATGTTGATGCATCGATAAGAAGATTTTGAGTGCTTTATCGGGTTTTCCGGCGGCGACGTACCTTTCGGCGATTATGGAGAAAGTTTTGGGGGTGAGGTGGAGGCGGAGAGGGTGAAGACGGTGGCGTAGTCTCGGAGACGCGATGGCGTGGTCGAAGGAGGAGGCGGAGTGGACGTAGGTGGGGTGGTTGTGGAGGAGGATGTGGAAGAACTGGAGGGCTTTGGGGCCGTGGTTCCAAAGCTGCTTAAGGATCGTGTCGACTAAAAGAGGGGCCCAATAGACGGAGGGGCAGATAAGTGATTTGATTAGGGACTGGCGGTTGGTGGATGCCGAAATGAGGTTGCTGAGATCGGAAGCGGCGGCGTTCATGGTGCTGTGCGAGATAAAACGAAATAAAGCAACCATCTTTATATCTTTTAGGCCCAATCGTAAAGCGAGCATCAGAGGCTCAAAAAGTATGTCTTTTTTGGGCTCTGTATTAACCCAATCGAACGAAACAATGTTTGTTCTCTCTTTTTCTTTTCAAAATCCTGGCCGCGGATCGATCAAATCACTTTGGCATTTTGACAAACACGTTAAGTGCTTGTTTTGAGCGAGTGATGTTCAAGGAAGGAAGGAAGCTTCATTTGCGTTATTAGCACATGTGTTTAACTTAGCACCGAACCCGGAACCTCATGTAATAATAATAATTTCTTTATCACCGAGGGTTTGGTTCGTGACATGTGTTTAACTTGGCATTTCCTTTTAGGGGTGCATTGATCTGATCTGGGTTGCAAATTTTGGCTTTGATTCCCTTCCAATGTGCCTTTTTGATGATAAAGTTAGGCTTTTTATGCTCCATTTTCTCTTTGACATGCAATCTGTAAACTGTATTTTCATGTTTGCTTCCTTATATGTATGCCACCTCCTCTTGGTGTCTTCTAGCAATGCATCTTTGCTTGGTTTTGATGTAGAGGGCAACAGAACAGTTCGTCGGAATCGAGCAAGAACCGGCAAAGTTCACACCTTCAAACACAAGATTTCAGCGTGGAAGCTCGAGTATACGCGGAAGGCTCCACACCAATAAGATCACTTAGACACCTCCCGCCGGTGTTGCCTATGTTTCCACTCTCCGGTGATTGAGGAAGATGAAGCGATAAATGGCGACTTTTAGCTTCTAGCAAAGCCGTACTTCGTTGCCGAGAATATAGGAGAGCTGCTATTGTGCTTCGCGATCAAACTGGAACGACCCGTATCGAGTAGAGACGGATACGTAATCTAATATGCTACACAAAGGAATATTTCTCTGCCTTACCTTGCTCACAGGGTGATTATGTTCGATAAGTATCGGCCGGAGTCTTGCTGCATTACCGGAAATTACTACAGTTTAAAAGGGCAGCAATGAGAAGTCTGTCATGTACTTTTGGGGGGCGCTCAGATTGAACAAAAATATTTATCTGCTTGGACTCTAATGGGGCACAAGTATGTCGAGATGAAAAACACTCCGGCTGCAGTTGATGCCTATAGACGGGCTGTGGACACAAATCCTTGCAATTATCGAGCCTGGTATGGGTTGGGACAAGCATATGAGATGATGGGGATGCCCCATTATGCTTTGCATTATTTTCGGGAATCTGTCTTCTTTCAGCCGATCGATTCTGGGTTATGGACTGCCATTGCTCAATGCTACGAATCTGAACAACTGCACAAACTTGAGGAGGCCGCAGATGCTAGAAAGGGGCTGCAAGTTGTAACGACACAGAAGCAATCGCCCTGCATCGACTAGCAGAGTTACATGAGAACTCGGTCATCCCGAGGTGGTGGCATTCTATTACAAGAAGGATTTAGAAAGAACGGAAGCTGAAGAGAGTGAAGGACCAGACACAGTTGAAGCACTGACGTTTCTTGCCACACACTACAAAGCACACAAGAGATTCGAAGAAAGCAAAAGTGTATTGTACCCGGCTTCTGGATTATACCGGTCCGGTGAGTTTCATCCTTGTTCCTTCAGCTCATCGTAGAAAATTATCTAGATTTCCGAATCTCTACTTTGATTATAGGAAAGAGAAACCGCAAAGAGTTTCCTTCGAGGAAAGAGACAGCACAGTCCGGTTTTCCTTCCATGGATGTCGAGCATTTTCATCCATGGAAATTGTTGCAAGCTATTTGTGAAGTTATTGATTGATATCCATGAGCAAGAACTATCAGATCCCACAACAATGAACATCCAGGGTTGCTAAGCAGGATAAATTGTTATCCATCGACTTCCTTACTAGATAAGTTAACTAGGGAAATGATGCGTTTTGCTATCTCCGATGAAGCATCGAGCTTCGCAGCTTTCAGAGTCCTCTCGGACATCTCTTTCAGGATCTCTTATTCCCTGTGTCATGAAACAGATGATAAAATCCATGCAGCAAATGTTAGGTATGTTTCGAGCATAACACTAGCGGGACATGAAGCAAATATGTCCCAATACAAGGGGTGTCTATTAGGCAAATTTAGTAATCTGGATTCGTATGATCTTCATCAATCGTAACACAAATCATAAAACCAAGCAACAGCTGTAGAATACCTAATATTTCAGATATGGCTGTCCCAAGGGTGGTTGAGTCAAGTTCATCCTCAGTTATAACCCTTGAACCAGCTACATCGGCCATTAGAGAAGCATTTCTGTGTTGATGTCCTTCTGCAACATTTGGGGATGGTACCTACAGCATCCAAGAGACAACAATTAAGTACACAATAAGTTGAAAATAAAAACGAGGCAAAACGTTGTAACTCGGGTAGGAGTGTAGGCTCACATTCTATATTGGCCATGATCTAATCATATCAAGAACAAGAACAAGTTAGAAAGATGTATAGATTGTATAGGTGCATGTATCATCAACCGTGCAGTTAGACCTCTGTGTTATGAAACATTTTCGAAAGCATGATCCCAGAACCTTCAAAAAGAAAACAAGCCAAGTATTCTAAAGGCGCAAGATTACCAATACCAATATTATTCAAGAAGAAAAAGATGCAGTTTAGTTTAACAATTACAGAGAAATTCGACCGATCCCAGTCATCGTGGTTGAAGCAGGTTCCACGCGGAGTCCGGTTGGAATCTTGTTGCCGCTACTGGTTTGATCATTTCTTGCTTGTTTGATCGAGAGACAGCAGCTGATGCTTAAAGTCCTGTAGAAAGAGAGAGAGAGAGAGAGAGTTTAGTTGATGGGAAATCGTGGGTAAAGAAAGAAAAAGCAAAACTTTAACCTGGGTTTTGAAGGGGAAGGTGAATGAGTGAGAGAGATGAAGAGTTGGGCTTTGGAAGCCATTTTTAAAGCATTTTTGTTGCTTGATAAATACAGCTAATTTGAAGAAATGAGTGCAGCTGAGGAAGAAGGGAAGTTAAGGAGGTCGTGCCATGCTCTTCTCTCTTCCATTCATTCTACGTCTACTAATACTACACCAACTCTTAAATCTGAATCTTAAATTGCTCCACCATTATTATATCTGTTTTGCAGCAATAAATGAATCCAACGTTCATTGGATCGTTCGTGAAACGTTGGTAAAATTTTTCATTTATATTTATTTATTAAATGAAAGAATATAAATAAGATTTTATGTTTGTTTAACTAAATGAATGAACATGAATAAATGATTTATCCGTTCATTTACGTTAATAAACGTTCAGTAATCCGTTCATTTATGTTTATTTTCCTTCGGTGATCTGTTCGTTTATGTTCGGTAAACCATTTGTTATGTTCATTCGTTTAATTAAATTTATATTTATGTTCATTTATTTATTTTCTTTTAAGAATTTTTGTTTGATTTAAAAGAAAGTTACATTCTGCGTTCGTTTAAGTTTATTTGTGTTCGCTTATCGTTTTGACAAACAAATATGAGCGAACATGAACAAGATATCCTCCTTAACGAACGAACACGAGCATGCAATTATGTTTATTTAGTTGTTCGTATTCGTTTGTTTGCTCGATTAGAGTTAAACGAATGAACATGATCATATCGCCGTTCGTGTTCGTTTACGGACTACTTAACCCATTTAAGTATCTTCCTTCAACCTGTAAAAATGTTTGGTCTTTCAAGAGTGTGGTCCAGTTCAGACCACGATGAGATGATCCCTATTGGCCTTTTTAAAAGCAGTATTAACAGTAAAAAATGTCCAAAGCAAGATGAACTTTCTGTCCACTTTATAGCAAAAATCCATGTACAACCTAAATTAGGGTTTGATCCACAACACCCCCTCTTATTTTTTTTATCCAAAATAATCCCTGTAACTTACCCCAGATTAACAAAATAATCCCTGTAAAATGCCATGCTCATTTATAGGTACTATGTACAAACTAAGCTTTCTAATCATTTATGGTAAATAATGAGACATTCTAAGATGGTGTAGTGATTTGATGCTGCAATCTTCTGTGGATCAGAGCTCGGGTCAGCATACACAGCCTCCGAGCGTCAGATTCATCGTTGGCCAAGGCCGAGCAGCTACATTCATTGCAGTCTGCAATCAATCTAAGTTTACCATTTTACACAAACATGGTAAATAATGAAACATTCTAAGATGGTGTAGGGATTTGATACTGCAACCTTCTGCTGATCAGAGCTCGGGTCTGCGTCCACAGCCGCCTAGCCCCGGACTCGTCGTTCGCCAAGGCCGAGCAGATACATTCATTGCAGTCTGCAAAGTATTTCCCACTCAACTCTTGTGCTTGTGTGCTCAATGCCACATAGCAGCTAGTTGATGCACCCTGTGAGGTGGACTTGAGCAGTTTTGAAGCAATAAAAAATAGAGAATCTGCATTTAGATCATACACAACAATTGGTCAGTCATTAAATTAAATTTAGTTGTTTTAAGCATGGAAAGAACTTGCCTGTAATAAAGCCCTTGTGTGCTCTGATAATCCCAGTCTTTACAATCCCTGGATGAACCGCATTGATGGTCACTTTTGCATTCTTTGCCTGCAAATTCCAATGGTTATTTGCAGAATCAAGCAATGATATTTATCGAAATAGAAAGTTCGACAAGTTTAAACAAGTTTCGGATCAGACCTTTAGCTGTCTGCTTATTTCCTTGGCATGTAATATGTTTGCCAGTTTGGATTGAGCATAAGCACGGGTTGCATTATACCTGTGCATCACCATTGTCAACATGTAATGTGTTTTATCGTAACGTTCGATATTTCGATTTTCGACCTTTTTCGGGCCGTATAGAACGAACAGACGAAGAGTGGGGACTTGATTACTTGTTGGGGTTGAGCATCTGGGTGAAGGTGAAACACTCTCGTTTGACCCAGCTGTGAATCACAGAAGAGAGGTTGATGATTCTTCCATGGATGCCTGTTTGCTCTGCTGTTTCCACCATCTTTTCTATTAGCATCTCTGTAAGTAAATAATGTCCTGCCGAAAACAAAATGCATGCAGACTTGCATCAAACCGATTACATATAGAAGAAGAGGAAACAAAAGGGTTGTGCATGTACCTATGTAATTTGTTGCAAATGTCATCTCGATTTTGTCCTCTGAGAACTCCAGATTCTGAGAAAATATGCCTGCATTGTTTCTGCAAAATCGATGTTTTATGTATCGTTTTCATGGTCATCAGCATCATCATCGTCATTATCAACATCATCTGGAGAAGAAGGATCAAGTAATGTAATTGAACCTACATGAGGATGTTAAGTGGCAATCCAAGTGCCAGGAACTGAGTACAAAATCTCTTGACAGAAGCCAATGAGCTGAGATCAATATCAAACAAGATGATCTCAGCCTTCGGGTTCTCCTTCTCAATCCCTTCCTTCAATGCGACCGCCTTCTTCCAGTCCCTCGCCGGTATCACTAGTCGAACTCCTCTCTTCGCCAGCACCCTCGCCGTCTCCGCTCCGATACCGGAAGTCGCCCCTTCAACACACATGGTTCCGCTTGTAAGACCAAAAGAAAAATACCATCCAATAAAGTCGAATACGCCATACATGTACTTGAAACTTATCTGTAGGTAACAAGAGACAAAACCACATCTTTGTACAAACAAAAAGAACCACCCGTTAGCGGGATAAGAAATAAACATACCGGTGATTATGGCAGTGAGATGGTGGTGAGGGGAGGAAGAAGAAGATCGGACAACTTGATCGGCGGTGGTTTTGGAGCCGTAGCCGCTGGGGCCAGCAATGCCGGCCAAGTACCGGAGTGTTTCCTTCATGGCGGTGGAGCAGCTTAAGCTTAGAATCTCGAAGCAGCAAGGCAGAAGTATGACTAGAACCAAGAAATATATACTGCACATAGCTTGTAGGAGTACCACATGATAACCCTGGGAAAATAAAATCTCTGTTAATTTCTAATATACAAATTAAACCATTGTTCATGTGAATGATTGGCTTTTGGATGGTGCAGAGCACCTACCATTGGGTGGTCGGTGGTTCCGCTAGGACAGACATGAGATTTTACATTAATATGGACGAATTTAAACTTATAAATTTTCGGTGATGAACTTAAACTTATAAATTAAGAGTATAAAAATAAATTTTTAATAAAAATTCATAAAAAATTTAGGATAAAGACGTATTTAGTATCTAAATTAACAATTTTAGTTTATTTTAGTACATAAACTTTTTATTTTTCAAAACCATGCCTAATGTTTAATTCTTTGTTCGTTAAAATCTTAACACGTTTAGTACCTAAAATATTAGTTTTGGTCAGTTTTAGTACATAAAATAAAACAAAAACTAAACTTTAGATATATTTTGAAAAAATTAAAAGCTTAGATACTAAACAGATTAAACTTATAATTTATATATTAAACGTGTAACTTACCCAAAAGTTTAAAATATTTGATAATTTTAAATTTTCAGACGGTGTGATCGTCTCCACACACTCTTGCCAGGTCTTTTGAGTACATAAACGAACACAATATTATGTCGGGATAAAAGTAGATTATCAATAAAATAACATATAAAAATTTAAAATGTAAGAGAATTTAAATTTTTTAAAAGAAGATACTTCGTTGATCCTCGTATTATCTCGGGTAGTTATCTTTTTAGGAGGAAAAAAGAAACGGCACTATCTATGTAATAATGACTCGTCTCTCCGGCCTTGATGGGTGCCTGCCATTGTGGATTTTGCTGGTTAAAAAAGCAACCGACGTTCATAAAACTATGCTTTGCGTTTGCGATAGAATCGTGCGTCAGTTTTAATATATTATTAAGAAAAGATGTTATTAATTTTATTATTTTTTTAATAAATTGGTAAAAAATTATTAAAAATATTATTATTTATACCCAAAATATTATTGAGCGATTTATCGAGCTTGGTAATATATATGGTAAAGCTCTACATAAAATATTTTTTTTTACTAGATATATTGCCAAACCGGTAAAATACACAATAATAATATTTCTGATATAAATAATAATATTTCCTATAAATTTTTATCAATTTTATTAAAAAATTAATAATAAAACTAATAATATATTTCTTTAACCGTATATTAAGCTTAACAAACGTTAAACTTTAATGATAAGTATAAACAAGCGAGTGGAGTAGCAAATATTGACTTCTCTTTGGATTTGACTACTTGTATATTCGGACAGATCTGGTAATTAAGTGGGGGATTGTGGGATAAATGTGTCCTAATAAAGGACAAATCCGGACATGATTGCATTACAACATGTAATTAGTGGCAATTACGTCATGATATCATAGTTTAAATGTTGATATAAAAGATTATCCGAAGGACTTTGGTAATAAAATAAAATATTACTCCTTTTAAAGAACACAAGTTTAAATAGTTATGAATTCGTCAGATTGCCTAAGTAACAAAACTTAATATTGATTTCCCTAAGTTTTTATGTTCGAACAACGGTGTTTATAGAGTATATGTGCATTTAGGGATGATAATTTAGTTCAAAACCAACGGAATCTGATCCGATCCCATCTGATAAGATCTCTTTTTTTACAAAATAAATATGGGTCGGGTCGGATTTTTTAAGAGGGTGAAGTCAGGTCGAGTCGGGTTTAGATGGAAGGTGAGAAATCTCTGCTCTACCCGACCCGACCCGGGGATAATAATATAATTTCTTTAAATATTTATTATTTTTTAATTAAGTCCTTATTTTATAATGAGTCGGGTCGAGTCGGATTTATACTCTAAATATTCGAGTCGGATCGGAGTCAGGTGGAAGATATATATTTTTCGGATCGTGTCGGGTCAGATAAAAGATATATAAATTTTGGGACTGATCAGGTTGACCAAAAACTCAACCCTAACCTAACTCGTTGACATCCCCATGCGCGTTGTCAATAAGAACAATTATATCTATAGAGCGTAAAAATATATTATCTTATAATCACTCTAAATTATTAAAAAACTAATATCAATATATATAATCCAGTTTCTCACTATAAGCCACCACATCACTCATTGTACATCAAGACAATTCAAACTCGTCAAACTCGAACAATCAAAAGTAAATAGTTCAAATTCGAAATGACTTAAACCTGGAGTTAATCGTAACTTGATATGATCCAATATGAATTATTATCTATGAAATGATTTCACCGGAAATCGATCGATTAAATCAGGCCGGGTACTATAGTAACTTATTATAGGATGATCCTCCTAATCAAATTTACTTCATTCTCAACGTTAGATTTTTCAAACTTTTAATTTAAGAGACGTAATACCTCATCTCGCTAATCAACCCGTAATTACTTTGTTGGTAAAAGTTTTTTTTTGAACTCCGAAGAAATGAATGCAACAAAACTACCCATTACTTTGCTTTGCTCCAAAGAAAAACAAAAGGGAATAATAATCTCCCATGTTTCCACTAATAAGGAGAAAGAGGTTCCAATACATATGATTTCAACGTTGAAAGATTAAAGCCAAAACCGCGTATTGATTGCCATGGAAATAACCCCTCCAAAAAGCGAGTGCTGTTGGTTTGATTGGTTTAAAGCATTTGCCTTTCGACTCCCAGCACGATCGGTTTGCATGTCGCTCACACGTGCACGTGTACAAGACAATTCAAACCCTAATAAGTGGTAATAATATTGAGCGAGGGCAATGCACTCGAATCCCGAGTTCAGACAAACGCAATCGCTTCTTGCAAATGGTCGTGTTTTGGGACCCTGGCAGTCACGTCTTCTTTGGATGGACAAAGGGCGGCATGATGAAAAAATGATTCTTTTTATCGACGGGTTGATTCAAGTAGTGAACAGTTTGATATTGTTTAAGCAGATATTGAGTTCTTGTGCATGTAAAAGTTTTCTTTGGGAGACACACTAGTCAAAGTTAGGTGTGCGACAAGAGTCGATCCGGTCCGGATTAGTCAGGGCAAAACTCCGGGCAATAAGAAAATGAGTTTGTATAAGAGTTGTGTTAAAATTTATTTTCTCAAGTAGGATGATCTATATCAGGGACGGAGCTATAATCAATTATTGAGGGGAGAATTCTTTTATATCAAAAGAAAAAGAATATATTAATTTTTAAATCTAAAAATTGAGAGAGACAAATGTCTTATTTGACTATTATTTAAACTAAAAAATGACCTAAAATGTCGTTACACCAAAAATTTAGAGAGGGACAACAACCCGTCTTAGCGATTATGTAGCTATGTCCCTTATCTCTACAATGTTTTGAGAAGATGATAGGATTATCAATATATTCGACGGAAGACACATAGAAGACCTAGTGTCTTCTAAAAGAAGTAAGTGGGAAGATATCGTGTGTTTCATACGTCTTTCGTCAGAGATGTCGAGTAATTCAAATGTCTTTCCAAAATAATACACCGTTCACCCTAACCGAAAAATGATTTTTTTTTCATCACTCTATTTAAGCAAATTTGCCGACAAAGGGCCTTGTCTTTAAGGGAAAAATGATGGGCGGTGTTGGGGAATTGATGGAGTAAAAGAGAGCAATGAAGTTGACTCCTCAACGAAGGTGGTTGTAGAATGGGAAAGCAAAAGGGGTCCGCATGGTTTCCTAAGTTGACTACATGGGATCATCACTTGTTCCATAAGCACTCATCTTTGTAGCTTCACATGCCCTTATCTCGCATCATTCTTTTCACACATGTTGTGCCCAAAGCACCAGCTTTAAAGTGTCAAAGGATCACTGTACCGGCACAAAAGGCAAATTTAAATTTTGATTGTGGTAAGCCAACGTCGATATTCGATCTGTTGATCAACTGATTCAAGTATATTCTTATAGAGGTTTATTCTAAGAACGATTCTCAATTTAGTCTTTTTTCATTCACAACGCTAAGGTTCAGATTCTTAACAATATAAAATTTTTATGTGGGATGATCATAAATAAAGTTTCAGAGCGAAAACAATTAAAAAATAGATAATTAATAGGAGAAAATTCAGATTCTAGTACTCTCACACAAACGTGACTCTGCCACTGACTTAAGGCACTTGATGTCTCATCCTTTGTATTAACCACAAAATCGATAAACCTTCATCGATATAAACGATAAACCTTCTAAAGTTCAATTGTGTTTATAGTGTAATTCACCCTTAAGATTTTTTATTAAACACTTAATTATTTTTTATTAATATGTGGTAAATACAATGTAGCATCTGTTCAAAAGATAAACTCTTAACCTTTTGATATTAAACGCTCACACCCTTGGCATCTATGGTGCTCAAACCCGAGTTCTCAAGAAATAACAACAATTCATTTACCACGGAGGCCACTTGGTTCGTGCTTAAACACTTAAATTTAAATTACTATATATTAAATTTGGTATATTTTAATAATTAAAATATTTAAAAAAAATTAAAAAATTAAAGGAGTTATATAAATTTGACTTTTTGATCTCTCACTAGGCTAAATTATTATCCGAGTCAAATCGCCAACAACACCACCAAATTAGTGTAAAATGACAGGTTTGAAACCTTAAGCAAATGTCCCCAAATTCACGGAATTTAATTGAGCATCACATATTTATGCTACGACTTCATGTAGGGAGAATCGTTAGTAATTAAATTATTAGTTTTGGTAAATAATTTTTTTTAAATCATATTTGATGTATAGTTTTTGTTTTATTTTAGTACCTTATTGTTAAAAACTTAACGGGTGGTTAGTAGGTGACACTTTTTTAAGGGTAAATTGTATCATTCATCACCCAAGTATATTCTCACTCATATTTTAGTCACTAAAGTTTAATTTTTCATTTTAATTGCCTAACTTTCAAATTATTCCTAATTTAATTACTCTAATTTTCAAATTTATTTATTTTTAATTTTAATTATATATAAATAAAATAATAACAAAAATGCCATGTCACAAAA